GTAAACGCTATGTATATTGACATCTGTATTGATTGTGTGGACGCTTTCTTCTTCAGTGAACCGAAAATAAAGTTGCAATTTTTTGTACCACTTTTTTTGTTCTTCAGATACTTCAACCAGCGACGTTTTGTTCTGTTCAACCTGTACACGTGTCTGAGTGCTCTCCACGTGCTGGGGTTGCTGCTGCAGTATCTAGAGATACTAAACGGTCCCACTATGGAGAGGTTGTTGTCTTATATCTTCCCTGTCATGGTCTATGAATGGTGAGTTAATGTCAGGGTGTCTTTGACATATCACAACAGTTACTGAAGTTCCGCCACTTTTCTCAACGTTACAACGCCCGTCAGTATATAAGTTGGCCATACACTAATAGTGTTTTGTATGTATACCTAGTACAAAAACGAAACTTACAATCTTTTTCTAACTTCTAAGTTAAACAAAGAGTTGACATATTTAAAAGTTTAAATACTTTTATCATTTCAAAACTTGAAATATCTTTATCATTTTTGCGTAGCGTGCGTAGTCCCCGTAGCGTGCGTAGTCCAGTGGCTTTGAACCAAGAGGTTGGGAGTTCGAATCCCGGCTAAAACGGCCTAAAAAGGAATATAACTGGCCAGGGGAGTTAGCCGGTCATGGAGGGTCCAGTTTGCCTGCAAATTTGGACCCTCTATGGCCGGCTAACTCCCATTTTTAGGCCGATTTCTACTACATGTAGAAGTATCTATTCCGCCTGCAAAGGAGTCTACATCTGTCGTGTTGTAGGTACGTAGGTTCCATGCCGACCTTCACAGCGCTGGTGATACTGGAGATGTACGTGTGTGTGGTAGCTTGTATCGGGTGCGGCGGGCTGTTCGGCTGGCAGATGATGATCATCAGGGACGGGCAGACGTCGTACGAGGCCGTCAAGGACATCAAGTACGTCTTTAAGAAAACTTTAAATTTTATTGATCAAATCGTGTAAATATGTCCCTTTCCCACAACCAAACGGAGGGAGTGTCCTAAATACAGCCGTGGCCCTGATAATGCATTCAAGTAGACCGACCCTCCTTGTTTTCAGGATAAAAATCGAAAACACAAGATTAACTTTCCTAGGTACTAAATCAATTTTCGTAGCACACAGCTATGTTCTTCTTGTGTACTTTGGGGAATTTTGGGGAGCGGACCTATACCTACATGTAACAAGGCTGGATTTTAGGCTAGATAGGAGTCTCTGTTGACAACGACTCCTATCGGGGTTCTGGCAATGTATTAGGTTGGTCTGCCATTTGTATCTCCTAGCTTCCAAGTCAAGCCATTGATCTAAAGTGACAGTTGAAACCTTCCGACTGAGTTTTAACGGAGTATCTTCAAGTTTTACCGACTCCAATCCATCGGTATCTCTACCACCAGAACTGCCGATTCTGACGGTAGAGTTTCCGACTGGAGTCTGATGACAAGACAGCGATTGGGATCTCTGCCGGTAGAATCAGCGATTCTGCAAGCTTGCAAAGTTGCAATCTCTACCTGATATATCTATCTAAATCAGCTATGACCAGACAAGAATTCTGACCAAAGAGAGTAATTTATTTTCCGGATACACTACATATTTCACATCATCGGGATACAATATCTACTGGATAACAGCACTGCAGATTCAGATACCATGAAATAACATTCATTCATATTACAGCTGCTATACACATGTATTCTCACACTCCTAACAGTGTTTTACAAAATGTTGCAGGAGATATAACTTCGGCCGGACCCAGAATCTACGAGAAGTCTTTGGACCCTACTGGCTGCTGAATTTTGTCTTTCCGATGTGGACAAAGCTACCAGGAAACGGCATTGACTGGACCCACACTAAGATTGTCAAGGGATACTGACCATGAAATATATATACCTGATGGTGGCATATTTATATATCTCCTGCACATATGTTACCCATGACAACTAGTTTCTGAGTTACATACATTTTTGGTATAGTGCATCAAGTAGAGTAATTGATAATTATTAAACTTGTAATTACATTGTCAACGTTTACATACGCATCGATACATTAACATTGAGTGGTAACAATAAAGCCATTTTCTTTCAAGATCAACACAACATCTCATAAATCGTGATCCTCTCTCTTTAAGACCAAAAATTCACTCACACATTCACTCACTCACACATTTACTCATTCATTCTTTCGCTCATTCATTAGCTCATTCAATTGCTCACACATTCATCTTGCACGTGGTGTGTAGACCTGATATGGAACAATTATATGTTTATAAATGTATAAAATATGTACAAACATAAAATAATGCTGTATCTACATGCCCGATCGGGCACTGCAGAAGTGGACAAAGGAATTTAAACAAATACAAAATGCAATCTAACAAACAATTTCTTTGAGGATGGTAAAAAAACACATTGCTACATAAAACTCTTTGATATTAAAATAATCTCAAAGCAACCAACAGAAAAACAGAAATGCCAGAGTTAAGAATTACAAGGATTTCAGAGGTTTCGGTCGTCGCCAATCTATACCATCACCGGGCAGCGCGGTCTGCCGAGGTATCAGGAAACTCAGAACCCAGAAACTTCCGAAAATTTCGTACAGATTTTTCGCCGGTCCCTGGTCGTAGGTCCGTATCTCGTTATGGGACTCCCACGATGTCTGTCCGTTGTAGGCATTGAGCATGTGCCAGCCGAACAGGGTTCCCGTCATGATACTCATACCAAAGGCGACGTACGTCATGACTAACATGAAGACCAGAAACCCGGTCGTTTGGCCCGCCACGAGCTTGTAGAACGCCACCGGGAACAGGTAGGAGAATACCCCAGTGCCGCTGAACGGCACGTAGTAATGGTGAAGATATCCGGCGTTAAGTAGCCCGGTGTATAGACTCCCGACAGCAACGTGGAACGACAAGACGATGAAGTACCTATAAGAGAGAAGAACAGTCATAATCAGTAAGGCATCATGTTGTGCACATACCATAAAGGTAACTAATTTCTGAAAGGGATTTAATGCTCCAACATACATGTACACTACAGTTCACTGAGTTTCTCCAAACAGCTTGTAACTAAGATTGCAACAATAAGGTTTTCCTATGTTTCCTTTATATAGTAGTACAATGTACTGTCATTTTTGCTCTGTTTCTTCTTCTTCTTCTTCAAACACATAGGGTCAATGACTTAGAAAGAAAAGACGGCTGTCACCATGGTAACTGATGCTGTAGCAGGCACCCTGTGGTGTTTGGGTTACATTATGTAGCAAGTGGTAGTACAGAGTTGGAGGGACTAATCACCATGTTCATGACTGTGTTTGAGTTAAGAATAAACACAGCAGAAGTTTTTAGGCTAGACCAAGTGAAGGTAAACACTCATCTTGTCTTTGCCCAATATTACAACAAAACAATCCTTGGGGCAATTATACATTATATTATCTTAATACATATTTCGTACCTTTGATTGTGATGACCCACACAGCTGGCAGTAAAGAAGCAGTGGTGGTCCCGCCGAAGGACACAGTTATGACAGATACTACAGTGCCAGGTACGAGGTGGTGTATGAACCTGTTAAAGAAAAACATTCACATCATGGATTGAAGTAGCCTCCACCAGACTTCTGTGCAGGTTGAATAAAAATTAGTAGAAATCAGGAAAGTAAAATGGAATGTATCTGGCCAAGGAAGTTAGACGGCCATAGAGGGCCATAGAGGGTCCAGTTTGCCTGCAAGGAACTGGACATTCTAATTCTAAAGACTATGGACAGCTAATTCCCCTCGCCAGTTAACGTTACATTCCTTCTTAGGCCAATTTCTCCTTTATGAGGGTCTGCATGGGGGGTCCTGATTACGCTTAACGCTACATTTATGGAGGCACGCAACCCTTTACGTTAAATTTCCGGAAGGCTGGCAACGTTTTACGCTAAATTTTCGCCTCCTCACTACGAATATCGGTAAATAAAATGACTTCCCTACGAATTACGGGAAATTATAAAGAGGCCGCCTACGCCTTACGGAAAAGAGCATGCAGACCCTCCTTTATTTATTCAGCCTGCAAAGGAGTCTGGTGGAGACTATCATGAAAGGGCTGTAACTTGTGTAAGAATTTTTAGGAGAAAATCTATGATGTTGTAATGTAGAAAAATAGTTGGGAGGGCAGATGACCCTGGCAGATGTATGAATCTGAAAAAAATGCCATTGGGAAACAATTTTCCAGTGATCGTATCAGGTTTGTAAATTATTCATACGTAGCAATCGAAACAATGGGTCATAACCCAACATCCAATAATTTATACACAAGTACTGTACTCACTTCTTCAATAATATTTGTATGAATCCAGGAAAAATAAGGTAACTTAAAGTTGGTTGTTAAAATGATGCAAGGAATTACGTTATAAATTTTCTTTACTATAAATGGGAGAGGTTCATAATAAATTTTACCTGGCAGGTCATACAGTGTCCCCACGCCCGCGGTACCGGGTCTGGGTCCTCCCTGTTGCGGTACGTGGTGTCGGTGATCGTGCACAGGACGTGGTTCGCCACCATGTTGAAGAAGATGTACACCGTCAGCAGGTAGCGTAATAAAATCCCCGTAAAATCATAGTCTGCGTAGATGTGAGGTATGGTGATGTAGAGATCGGTGGTGAGGAAGATGACAGACACAGTGATGTAGTAGACGAACGCAGCGGCGTGTAGGAGCCATAGTTTGTCCCCCAGTGCGATGTGAGGAATGTGGAATGCCATAACCTACACCTGGATATATAACGATACTGCACACATTAAAAAATACAGAGGAATCTAGCCTAAAATTGCTCCTAACGGTACGTTTACACCGACACGCAAAGTCCCGTTGTCTGGAATGGTGGGTAGACTGACCCCGTCCAAATGACCTATGTAGAAGGTTCTACTCTAAATATAGGGGGAATGATTTTACTGTGTTTTTAAAACAGCAGCAAAAGCGGTTGATAATCGCACCATAGAAAATTAACCATTTTTATTTATATTTTAGTAATATTACTGACTATCACACAGAGCGTTCATGACCTATGTTCTCATAATTTAACTTCTATCTGAAGTCACATTACAACTGTTACCCATATAATAGGTGGTTACACCCATGTTCTGCCTCCTCAGAAACACTTCCGGGATTCAGCGATCCAGGACAGGTAACTATCAAATGCAACGTTAGGGTTAGATATGTAGGAAGAATCGAGGAGCTTAAAGTAAAATCTATTTGTCAGAATCCTATATGATGTCCTTGGTAGAATGCAGCACATCCTGATACTCTCTTTACAACATGCAAAGCTGCCCAGTGTCCGGTATTTTGCATCTCTTTTGACGAGAGCATGAAGCCTGATACAGCTTTGTAGTATTGCCGTCAAGCGATTCCTTGGTGACTATAGAAACCTCCTTGGGTTGTGTGTGTCCCGAGAGGTATAATGTGTATGTAAAGGATGGTAAGTGGTAAAAATTTTCGTTCTTTTAATATCTTGAACATAACTGGGTATTATAAAAATGCAGGTTAGCACAGGAAAAATTGGAGCTGTGTCTACCTGTACAGCTCACCTGCACTGGTCCATGTACTGGGTATATGCAGGTTAGTGCAGGTAAAATTGGAGCTGTGCAGGTATTTCTGATGTCTACCTGCACCTAACCTGCACTGGTCCATGTACTGGGTATATGCAAATTAGTGCAGGTAAAATTGGAGCCGTGCAGGTATTTCTGATGTCTACCTGCACCTAACCTAAATGCATTTTGAGCCTTGTTGGTAACTTTTATTTAAGTTGGTATTGCATACCACAAAAGTATTAACTAGTATGGAATTTCTAACTTTACAGGGAAATTGGTTTCTGAGGAAAGCTGAAAGAGACCCTACCTAACAACATCATGAACATGCATCCTGCGACCAACAGTCAACATACCTGGACCCGTCTGTTACACTTCATGAACTGGCTGGGACTACTGTACTTCCTTGCCATGCTGGTTACCGTGCCACTCGTATGTATCACAGTGATCGCCCCGACATACCAGCAACCATTTCTTCACCAAGCTGCAATGGCCTTTACCTTCATTCAAATATTCTGCAATTATCTGCTTGCAATTTCGACGAACACCAGCCATGGCGGACGTATTGGCGAAATATCCGATGACCTTCCTCAAGGAGCGCATTATTGCAAACTCTGCCAGAAAGTTATTCTCAGAAGAGACCACCACTGTTTCTTCATGTACTGCTGCATCGGGAAGTACAACCAATGCTACTTCATAGTGTACTGTTTCTACATCATGCTAGGAGGGCTGTATGCTGTGTTACTACAGGGACTGTATCTGAATCAAAAGTACAATGTCAAGTTTAACAGTTTTACTCTTCTCGTCTTGTTGCCGAAGACATTTTATGAGTTTTTCGTGGAGGCCGTGTCGCCCTCTCAGTTCTTACTGACTGTTGTTATGTATGGCACTCTTGTTGCTGCGCTAACCTGCGCTGGATTCTTCTACTGGGAAATGAGCATCACATTTGACGGGCAGACCAGCCACGAGGCTCTGATGGGGGAAAGAAAGGACGGTAAAGGCGCGTGGGAAAACATAGTCAATGTTCTGGGGAAGTACTGGTACCTGCGATTTCTGGTGCCGTATCCTTTCAAGCCTTTGGATGTGTTGGATGTCAAGAAAAAACAACATGGAAAAGTATCAAGAAAGAAGGCAAAGAGAATGTAGTCATTATAAAAGATGTCTCTGGATACTGAAATCACTTTATATTCACGATAGCAGAATTTCATGGTCTGAGAAAAATGGACATGTTTGCTGTGGTGGCAGGTGCAGAAAAAAGAAAGTAGGCAAATTATTTGTTTGTGGTAATGATAAATTTGCAGTACAGAAGTGATCGCAAAAACCGCGAATATAAAAGTACTGTGAAAAAAATTCTGATTTACAGTATGCAAATTATCATGTCTAGGATATAACTGTGAAAGAGTAAATACATTGTGTATTGCAAAGCCCTATTGCTTCTACTAATACATGTAGTAAACTTAGACTCAGAGTTTTCATATATTTTATTCACTTCGCAACTACATGTACAATGTAAAAAAGTTGTAAATATAATATACTCTTGGCATATCATATGTACATCTAACATAAGAGACATTGCAATCACCACAAAATTACGTAATACTATGTACCTTAATTTCCTACCTCAGTCAACAGGTCAAACCTAGATGATCCTACTATCAATAAGTAGGTCTTGTTCATGATTAAAATGTCAAATTCCATTCATCAGTGCCAGTGCAATTTTCTTCTGTATCAAATTTCACACATTTTAAAGAATTAAAACCTTTGTTATTGTTCTGCAATTGTTTCACATATATGTACAAATACTACACTGGGTGTATACTAAGTACTATACATGTATGTATATGTACAATGTATGTTCAATATTTGTGAAGTTTGTCTTTTTTTCTGTTATGTTGTGAGAAATTCCAAACCAGAAATTTGTTCATCCAAAATCACATCATGATAAAATACTATGTACAAACAGCTGCCTTAGAGCCGATTTATCTAATTTCTAATGCAAAACAAAATTCAATTGGCACAAAAAATATCAAACAGCAGCAGTGGTGTGTGTGTCAGGACTTTCTGCCTCTGTACTGCCCCAGAACTCAGTCCTGTCTTCAGTTCTTCAATGATCACAGATCCTTGAGAATCTGCAAAACAACCTACAGAACAAGAAATCATGTTTGGTATTATTGTACATGAAGGCAAGAAATTATTGCAAATGCTCGAAATATATAAAGCAATACATAGACCAGTGCAGGTTAGATGCAGGTAGACATCAGAAATACCTGAACAACTCCAATTTTACCCACACGAACTTGCATATACATATGTCAAGCTCTGGATTGTCTTGACAAAAACTGATTACAAGTATTTTTTCAGAATCGTGATAATAAACGGTGATATACTATTGACTGATTGATACATGTGCTATCTTACAAAGGGGTACTATCAACTGTACACTTTATGAATAGAAACTTACCTGAGCCTTCTGTCCAATATTGCCAGGCCTTGTGGCTATCTTCTGTATGGAGTCAGTCATAGCCACTATGCTTGTGTACACCCCATTCACACTCCTATTGGAACACAAACATTTGTCATCATTAATCAAGAACAAAATGAAAAAAAGCAAGAAATCAAGCTTTTAATACCTCCATGTAGCATTTAGGGTAGTTGTGAATTTCTTGTTTTGCTGGAAACCATTTTAACCTCCAACTTGACCTTTCTGTCAGTCTTTGGCTACACCATTTGTCCACCACTTTCCTTGACTCTACTGTATTCAAATATCTACAGACACTCAAGCAAACTAACACAACAATAAAACCTTCGTACATGAAGGTAATAATATCAAGGAACACGACATAACAAAGATACTGAGAGACAAATTCAGAGAAAAATTATCTGCAGTCATACAGTCACTGCCATATACAGTACATTTTGTATTAATTTC